GATATGCAATTTATGGTGATCGGCCACTTCGACTTCGTGACCCTCCCTTGTGAGTAAGCATTTTGATTTGATTTTTCCATACTCTTTTCCAGACGACATTTGAATTATGTGAGTTTTGTGCTTACTTGACCATGGAAGAGCTTACCCATTCTCTTTCTTGTGAACAAAAAAGTGAATATGCAACCAATGGGCGCGGTCTACGCGGGCTCTGGTAACCAATTCCGTTCTCTTTCTATTTTGTCGTTTTCACGAAAAAACATTCTAACGTAAATATGATCTTTTATTAAAACTCTCTATAAAATGAATTTTTAGTATCATCTTGTCACATCACAATTTGTACTTTTTGGCCACTTTTTTCGTGGCCCTAGGTAGTCATATGTCCTCTTCGTCATCGCTGTCTCCGCGCTTTGGCAACATGCGCTTCTTATCGCCGTCAATTTCACAGGTGAGGCGGGATAAGCGGTATCGACGAAATCTTCTAAAAACTAGGTATTATGATTACAGCCTGTTGATCTATTGAAAAATGATCGCACCTTGTACAACTTCGGATAGCAGCTTTGACTAATTGATAGATGGCAACAGCTAAAATAGCAGAAAGTACCCCAATCATGCACGGAATTACCACATTTCGGTGGTATGGCGTACTCTGAAAGTCAGGTTTTGATGGTTTACACTTTTGAGGTAGTCTTACCATCCAAACGTCGAAGTCCTTTCGCATGACTTGGTAGTTGTCTCGTAAGTGGCTAAGTTCAGTGACGATGGATTCTCGTAGGCCAACATGCTGATTGAGAACAGTTGTATTTGACGAAGCTGTGCTGAAGAAGGATGGACGAATCTGGCAATGCTATTGTACGGTCGAGTATAGTCGATTCGTTGAGAACGACTGGACATCGCTGCGCGCGCGCGCCGCGAGGTAAAACGCTTGCCCCGATACAAATCAGCCATTGCACGAATCGTGCTCTCGCAACATTTTAGCCGCGCCGCGCGTGGTCGGCAGCGTTTTAGCAGTCCGTGCGGTCAACGAATCGACGATAGATTGTCCGTATACAGTTTGCTTCAATTGGGAGCAGGCCGAAACGTTGGCTTGAAATTGCGCGCTCAGAAATAAGAGAGAGCGCAGACA